TTCCCTACATCAGTGCAGCGGCACACTATAATAAGCAGGGAGCATGCCACTACAGTGATGTAGCTAATGATCATGTGTAGACCCATGTGATCGCTATATCACTGTACTGCACCATGCAGCGGCATAGCACATCGCTATGTTGCTGTAGGGTGATGCATAGACAGAGCCATTGTGTAATAACTGAATGGGGTGATAATATAAGTAAGCCACACACTTACATGTGGCCAGGTCACTACTTGAGAGGTGATTAACCAGTTAATAGCATCTTAAGTGTAAGGTCTGTCAGGGGCCTTTGACACATTAAGTGGAGGACAAAAGTGGGGAGGAAAGCAAGCCAAATCAGGGGTGTGCAGCCCTCCTTGCAATGGATGCAGGCTCCTTATATCTTAGCCTATAGTACATGGGACCACTTTGGGGCAGGGATGGGGAAATCCCTTTTTTGTGCACTAGACACTGTTTAATTAAAGGACTGACGGGAGGCCGAGCAGACAATGTCTCCGCTCCAAGTGGCTCATCTCTTATAAATACGATATGGGGAAAACAGGAGAACTGTGCTGGAAAAAAAGATTTATTGAACAGTATCCAATAACTTGCAGCGTTATTTAGTACAATACTGCATTTCAACACCAGTACAGACTGTATAGCTAGTTTCTTACTGAAGGTGGACACAATGGTAAGTTTTCAATATAATAATTCATATGAAGTAGGTCTCAGACAGGTCCTTTTGGAGTAATTCCAGGAGTAAATCTGGATTCTGATAAGTTTGATGTGAACAACCAGAGTCATCCCAAGTCAGGTTCAGTGTCACTGAAAGACAGGCTGACTTTGCGAGGGCAGGTACTATTTGAGGCCAAGTGTTACATTACAGACTGTACACCTAGGAACCCTTTCACCAACTCCACAACACAGTGACAGCTCTGAGCTTAAGTTGTTATTCAAGATGATGCCCGAGGGGTTTGTTAGGATCTTGACTTGCCCAAGTTAAATGATTTTTGTAGCTTCTTTTTTTTTTTTTTTTTTTTTTTTTTTAAGAACAGATGCCAAGACACAGTATATGCTGCTCCAGTACAGAGCGTGAGCTTTAGGAACCTCACACACTAAATCCTTCCCTTCCCAGGCATCAAGCTATTCACTCAGCTTTCTGATTTAACAACCCTCCCCCCCGCCCAACCAAATAACAACAACACACATGCACAAAACTAGATTCTTACAAGCTGAAAATGAGATAATCAATCACAACTAATTTAACTTGGTCACAGATGCCTGCATGAATAATAAGAGGCTGTACCTATCATTAAAGACTTCCCATACTTGCCTCCAAAGAGCCATATAGACAAGTGAAAATTTGCCTGGATAATTTAATCATCAGCACAATGGCAAACCAAAGGTGAATTGAGCCCCGTGTGTCAAAAAGCTAGCTTTCCAAAAACCTGCTGGGGAGAAGGCAGATGACGAAGAATCTGCAACCTGTCGCTCGCATACTTCTCCCATACCAAATAGCTGATTAGTGTTGAAAACTTTGCCCCCTGCAATCAAAATGCATGTCACAAAGATAGCAGACAGTGTCATTTAAAAGGGGATTTTACAGCAAATGCCAAAGTGTGCTAAGAAGCAGCTTTTAGTAGACAGGATAAAAGGGAACCATTTCCTCCCACCCACCTGCCTCTTTTGTATATTAGTAAGCTTGAGAAGCCAGGCCAGGGCTGTGCTTAAAAGAAGAAACCAAGCAAACCAACCAACTCACCCGCCCCTCTTCATTATTTGTTTGAAGTGCTGGGGGCGTGGGGAAGGAGGGAACACATACACACACACACACACACACACACTTTGAAATGAGTCTCATTTTGCAGGCAATTCTTGTGCGACTTCTTAAGTTGAAGCCATACACATGAAAGTATTTCAAGACTTTACGAGTATTAAACCTCAGATGAAGCTAACAACTATGAACTACATTGAGCTGTCACAGAAGTGTAGTTAGACAGTAGAAAAAGCCTTTTTGGTTTTCACAAAGAAAAACATAAACCATTCCCTCCTCAGTAAGTGCACTTAGAAGCCATCCTTATGGCTGGTCTACCCCATGCTCTTGGTTTTTGTGGACCAAGATAACACTAAGACTGTTTGGACAGGTAAAGGAGTCTTAAAAGTGTGTCAACTACAAGCCCAAGTTCACTTTACTGGACGTCTCAGGAAGATGACACGCAAGCTGTGTCCAGATGAGTACGGACATCTGGTTTCCCAGGGATAACTACCGGCAGTGCACCTCGTGCCCCTGCTAGTCGTCCCCAGGGAACACCTGTATCATGCGCGCTCTGGTACTTGGCAGGTTACCGCAGGTGGGGTACGGGAGGCTAGAGCAAGCACTAGACTGGCTCCAGCAGCCTTACCTCAGGTCCTGGGGCTGCAGCAGCAACAATCCTGCTTCTTGGAGCCTGGCTGACAGCTGTGGTGTGGCTCTGGCTGGCCAGGCCCCAGTTTTGAGTAGCGCACGCTGCCCCCACATGATATCCAGGGGTCAAAAAACAATACAAAATGCACGCTGCTCCCTTGCAGCGCAGAGAACAGCTGAACATGTGATATGTGGCACTACAGACGTGTCTGCCCTACCACATATTGCACAGCCACGCTCATCTGGATGCAGCTGCAGAGTCCAAGTTATGCAGGGGGCAAACTATTCTGACTCAGGATCTGCACACGGGGCAAAGGCAGGCTGACATTGCAGGCTAGGCTCTTCCTGGTACAGGGCTGGGCCAAACTGTGCTTGGGGTGGGTGGCGGTGCTGGGAGCGGGGGGGGGTGTCGTCACCCCAAAATTCACCCTAGCCCCCCTCCCAGTGCTGCCGCAGCCCACCCTGAGTACAGCCTGGCCCAGTCCCCTGCCAGGAAGAGCCCAACACTACCCCCGGCCCCAGCCCACAGCAGCAAACTGCCTTTGCCCCATGCATAGATCTGGGGGCACGTGCTCCCTGTGCCCTCCTGGGGTGCATGCAGCAGCAGAAGCACCCCCCGCTCCCCACCCAAGTTGTGCAGTGCCTGCCTCTACCCCAGCCCTACTCCCTCCCTCACCGGGGGGGCCTTGATCTCCTCCCCCCCACCCCCACAACAGACTTACCACCTCAGCGCTGGTCTCCACACTGCCAGGCTGCAGATTGGCAATCGGATTGGTATCAGCCGACATGGCTCATTAAAAATACTGGCCATTAGTATCAGCCCCCAAAAAATCTCTAACAGTGCACCCCTAAAAAGAAGTTCAGGAATAAGAACTATTCAAATAAAAAAAAATAAAAAAAAGTAGATGTGATGCAAGCACTGTGCTTTATGCAAGATTAACAGTGCTTATGTCTGGCATCTCCACGATCCCTTCCATGCAGTAGGCAAATGTGTATCCTCATGATAATGATGTGCACATAAAGTCCACTCAGGTGCCTGATGAATCCAGTTGTGGCAGACGAGCCCAATTTCAGAGCAACACCGTTACAGGGTACACAGATCCATGTTTTGTCTGAGTTGAAGTCCAAGTTTACCATACGCTTTCTTCTTTCTTACTTTGCTTCCGTCCTCTGGATTGGAGCCGTTTCATGTTGTGCTGCACCCATGCCAGATGTTCCCTCCAGATTGGACTGGATTCTGTCTGCTCCTCAACTTTCTACATTTATTCTGAACAACCTGGTAAAATTTCTGCACATACCATCAGAGGGCAACCCCACTTGCTAGAGCTCTCTTGCATTTTACTATACAAAATATTCTTGGATATACGAGTTCTCTTG